CGTTTTGAGGAGGATATTCCCTCTACCTGCAGGGGCTGGTACTCAAACTGGTCGTGCAGGTGAAGGTGGTTTTGGTCCATCCCTGGTGCACCCTTGTCCCATCACCCTCTGTGGCCGTGGGACTTTGTTGCCATCAGGGCTGCAGAGGAGGTGCTCCTGAAGGCTGCAGAAGATGCTCCTGCTGCATACGGCCAGTGAGGGATGGTGACACGGTTGTTTTGATTTGTTGGTCAAGGATATTTATCTCACAAAGGTTCTCCTAATGGGAAATGTGTACGCGTGTACTTGCACGCATGCACATAAGCAATAAACTCCAGCAACTAGATTAAGGCCATCAAATCACTCAGTACTAATCCCCACAGGGACCATCACATGCTCTAGTTTTGAGCTCTGACCTTGATGCTTATGCACGTCTTTAGTTTTACATGTGTGAGCTCTCCCACAAAAGTCACATGTGTGAAGTTAGGTATGTGTTAAAGTGTTCTGCCAGACTGTGTGCTGTGGTTACAGGGGCTTTGGGTGCTCTTGAACCTGTTTTGTTGGGGTAAGAGGCTTTAGATTTCATTATTAAGAACCTGATATGTTTCTCTGTATGAACTCAAGGTCTTGGAGTTATCTGAAATTCTCATTAAGACAAGAAGCTAGGAAAAGTACAAATTCCTCCACTAGTAAAGTTACTAAAAATACTATAATTAAATTATCTAAGACTTAAAACCAGTAAAATGTATCGAGGAAATGTGCTAGAGGTATAAGTACAGTGCTGTGAGAGCACCAAAGGGACTAATAGCACACTCTCTGCAGATCTGGAATATTTTGAGCAGTTAATGTAGTTGATGTGAAAATGCATATTGCATTTGTTCTGCTCTTGATTCATACACTGTGACCCTTAATAAATTTTGATGGTGCACACACTAGAGCTGTTGCAGAGAAATGAAGGCAAATAAGCAAGCAAGAAAAGGACCTAAAGAATGGACAAACAAATCCTTTCATAAGGTATTTCTCAACTGAGATTATTTCTTACTAGGCTTAAGTTGTTCGGGTTTGTCGTGTACCATATCTGGCACCAGTCCAGTGAGGTTCTAAAAAATGAAACCAGCTCTGTTGGGTGTTAAAAGCATACTCACACTTTGGAAATATATTTTTCGGAATACACATCTGAGCAAAATGCATTTCATAAAAGAAATTCTGTTATTGATATTTGCTTTACAACCAAACAGCAACGAACACAGATAGAGATCTTATTTTGCTCAGAAAGATGGAAACTATGAAATATATTATAAATAAAGAAAATGTTATCATGACTCGTGGCTTTTTTATGAACTACTGAAAAATACTGTGGGCTGCATTCTTGTTTGTGTTGATGTCTTCACATCAGGGAAGGTGAGTCCATACACCCTTGCTAGTGCGATCTGAGCAGACTGATGGAGGAGGGAGATACACTCAGTCAGCAGAGATCCCATATGTAAAGGAGAGGAGCTGGAAGCAGCACCCATATGAATGTACACTGTCCTGCTTCACCGTTGATCCTGTTTCAGGATGCCATTTGGTCTGTGGAAGCCCGCTGACATCAGCCATTTGCTCGCTGGTCTTTTGGGACAGGTCACTAGGTACTCTTGATAGTCCTTTGATGCCCCATCCTTGGAGATATTCAAGGCCAGGTTGGATGAGGCCCTGGGCAGCCTGACCTGGTGGGTGGCAGCTCTGTCCATGGCAGGAAGTGGGACTGGAAGGACTTTAAGGTCTCTTCCAACCCAACACATTCTGTGATTCAGTGATTCCTTGAGCCCATCCGTTGGGGAAGGGCCTATGCAGGCCACCAGGCAGACAGCATGGAGTAGAAGGTGTTTATCGAGCGGCTCACCTCCCTGGGGCTGTTTCAGAGGGGAAAAGTAGCCACTGAAACATGAGGAGAGGTATTGGAAATTAGCCTGTAATGTTCCTGTGGCTTGTTGGGACAGATGCTACTGTGGTATGCTGAAGTTTGGGAGAAGACACAAATGGCAATTCTGAGCTGCTACTGGCTTTTCCTTTCCTTTAGGAGTCACACAAGCTATCTGTTTTGATTTTCTCATCTCCTCCAAGCAAGTGTGTAGTGCAAAATCACCACTTGCCTCCCAAAGCTTAAATAATAAATGGCCACACTGCACTTTGAGCATCTTAGTGTTCTATGCCAATACCCAGTGATAGCATTGCATCGGTAGGTGTGAGTGCTTCAATCCTTGCTCAGAATGCAGTGCTCATCCTGGTATGTCCTCTCCCTCTGCAAAGGGACATTGCCTTCCTTGCAGTGCTCCTGCTGTTTGTCCAGGTGGTCAGATACGTCTGAGTGTGGGTACGTGCTAGGGGTGAGCCAGCCATCCTGTGTGAGCCATTGATGTCAATGCTGTCGAGAGAGGGAACACCTGCCTCTTGTCTTTCCCCATTTCTAAATGCCACTCACTGTCACAGATCTGAAGTGGCTGAGGGAGGGAAGAGAAAGCCCCAAACAGTAAAAGCTGAGGCATGTGTTTGGCACGCATTCTTTCCCGATGCTGGGATGAGGACTTGCAGCCTGGACGTCACTGAGAAAATCCCAAGTACTTCAGCTGGATTCAACCACTTAAAAGGTGAATGATGTTTCCAGGAGAGCTCATGTACCCTTTTCAAAATTCAGTTAAATCTTTAGAAACAACCTTTAAAAATTAAGGTTGCTAGGTGCATTAACCAGTCTTAACGAGGGCTGTGAAACTGTACATTCTCTGGTCCTGTAGAATAATATATGTTCCCAGGAAACACATCTGTTTGCATTTGAAGATTAATCTATACATATATTTACTGAGTGCTGCCACTCTTTTGCATTGTATTTGCATTTCTGTATCTAAAAATATATGTTTTCACATGCGCAGTTATTCCTGAGAGGCTATTTACAGTAATTGCGTGTAGACTTACAAAAGTGCTGTATGTGAAGCACGGAGTCGAGTTGGTGGGAGATTGGCAGGCCCTCTGGGTTGCCATTATTTCTCTACCAGCCATGAATGATGAAGAATTTGCTTCCCGTTGTATATTTGACAATGGAACCCTTCTTAAATTCTTCCTCAGAGCCAAGTACAAGGCTGTCTTTTAATAATAAAAAAACAACAACACGTGTTTTTACCCATGTCTATATTTATTTCTTACAGGAATGCACATATTGCTCCAAGAGCCACCCACATCCTTCTTGTATACAGGGTGTATTTGCATTTGCAGCCTGTCTCACTGCAAACATGAGAAGGGGGGAAAATGCAGCCTCCTCTGTACTGTTGGTTGGCCTCTATCTCTAGAGTCACTAGCAGATTACCTGGGTCACTCATGTAATTGGGATCCGTCGCATTACCTTTGCTAGAAATACCCATAGCGTAGATAAGACTGTAGTTGTGTTATTACCTTTAAAATCTCTGTACCAAACATTTGGGTAATGAGGAAGAAAAGAGCTGTTTTGTTTTCTGCATGCTGATCAGTTAGTCATTTGACTTCTGCTTTCTGTTCCTCTGTCCCTAAGTAGGGTAGCACTTGAGCACGTGCTTGATTTTAAACACATGCTGAAATCTTTGGGAATTCAAAGGAATGGAGCATATGCTTATTGCTTTTGTGAACAACGTTGCTTTTCAGAGTTGGAGGCCTTATAGGAAACCTGATCCTTTAAAGTAGCTCCTGCTTATATGCATTTCCTTTTTTTTTTTTTTTTTTTAATATTGTAGGTTTTTCCCTTCTTTCTTTAGCATCCTCGATGCTACATCATGTAATAAAAACAATACTGGTCAGGCTACTTGCAATTACTAAAGTAGGCAGTGAAAGTACTTTTCCAAGGGAACCAGGGAAATCACATAAATCACAGATTTACACATGTTTTTGCAGGAGAAATCCATAGCAGTTGGCAGCACTTAATGACAGAAGTGTTGTTTACCCATTAAGGGGTGGTCATCTCAGCAGGTCAGCGATGCATTTCAAAGGCTTCTTGGTTTGATTTTAAGCCAGCTGATAATTTATTCCTTGAACTCTGCCTTATGAAAATAAAACCCAGTTAAATATTGAGTATAATAAAGGCTGTGCTGCCATTCAGGCTGCACAGTGCCCTCACCTTCCCTCACACCAGCGTCTCTCCATTGTTGGTATGGGCATTTCTCAAAGGGCACAAGCTGACCTCTGCAATTATTTATGGAGTTGTTCAGATAAGCCCTTTTTCACAGGCAACGCTCACACACTCACAAGGGCTGTTATAATTTGAATTTATACCACAGGTTCAGCTGTCGCTTCCTCTGTTCCCACCCTGCCTTTTGGAAAGATACCCAGTCACATGATGTGCTTGTAAAAAGGTTGCTGATTGAGGAAGGATGCAGGAAGGATATGGTTTTGCAGTGATTGCATAAGTGCTTTGCAGGGTCCGAAAGCCATGGGTTTATATAAGGACGAGTTAAGATGTGAATTTCAAAGATTTATTTTTTCTGATTTTGAAATAAGTCACGAGCAGTTCAGCTGTTTTGGAGGACCATAGAACTCGTGTGGATGTGGTCTACAGTGTATTAGCAAGGACTAATATCTGTTTTGTAATCAGCACCATAGATTCTCTGCCTCCTTTCCATCAGAGATCTCAGTCTTGTTTCAGAGAAATTGTCTCCAAAGCTTCTGTTTGAAATTATCAGACTTGATCGTGTCCAACTGAAAGTTGTTCCCATCAAAGGCTTTGGGGAGTTTTACAGTTTGCCTCAGACTGCTTAGACTAACACAGAGGTCCTTCCACAAAGTGCTGTGCTCCCTCTCAGAGAAGTCCTGAAGATCATGAAGCTTCATGTCATCCTTTGCCATAGAGTGTATTGCTCTCAAAGAAGGAGCTGGGATGTGGAGGTTTGTATTTTAAAACACTGTTTTGGTGATTTTGTGTTCTGCCAACATCTAACATCTGTATTTATTTTCTGAACTCTCCTTAATGGATTATATGCATCTGTTCAGTTCCAAGAATAATGCTTGATTTCCTGAATTTATAGGTTGCAATAAAATCCATTCGTAAGGACAAAATTAAGGATGAGCAAGATATGGTTCACATCAGACGGGAGATTGAGATCATGTCATCCCTCAGCCACCCTCATATCATCACCATATATGAAGGTTAGTGAACGTGATTCTCCCCTCCAACCACTCAGTTATTTTCTTGGACCTGATATTCATGCTTCTTGAGATCGTGCCCCAAACTCTCACTCATGGCATAATCCATCTCTTAACAAAGAGACTGTTCTGAGTGCTGCTTTCCCTCTGAACAATCAGTGTTTTGCAGACGTGTATCCCTTTGTCCAGAGGAACTTCTTCATGTGTTACTTAAGTGTTACGTCTACGGTGGGTGGATATCATTGCATGTATCATTTATTCTCCCACTGGAAAATTCAATTTAATTTCAACTCCCCACACACAGCTGCTCCATGTCACTTTGTGTCCCCAGCCCCTCTGCCAGTCCTTACAGACTTTTCTTCCCTGGGCTGCAGAAGACTGGTTTTGTTTGCTCTGCTTATCATGGACAATGCTGTGTCTGTCTGCATGATTTTGAATACGCTCTCCAATTTATTTACAAACGTGTTCTCCTTAAGTGTGGTTCTCCATTACCTACAGATTAGTCTTGCTGGTTCTGTGATTGCTGCGTTTTTACCATGAATCCCAGTATCCACTTCCGACCAACCTCTGCAGTTTCCTGTTGTTCTGGTCACTGGCTTATCACTCATGTTCCGTATTCCTGTTGTTTCTCTCTAACTCCTTTCTTCCTGGGACACAGAAGTGAATCCTGATAATTCCTGGCTCCTAGAGCTGCTCCCTTGTCCAGAGCAAGGATCAGGAAGCTGGAGCATTCTTCCTTTTTTCGCTTATTTGTTCATATATTTATAGAGTATTACTCTGCAGGAGAATATCCTCCTCCTTCCTTCCTTCCTAAAATCTACAACATCCCAGATAGAGCTAAATAGCTTTAAGGGGAGGGGGATATGTGCAGAAAGGCACCAGCTAAGAGGTTCGCTGCCAGGCCCTACAAGAAGGGCAGCATCCATGGACCTGGTCTGTGGTCTCTGAAGGCTTAGAGGGGCTTGGATTAGGTGGACTTCTTCCAGGGGTTCACCTCTTCCATACACATAGCAGGAAGCCCAAATTTAGCCCTTTGCATTTACATACCCATGAGGTAAATGTGCAAGGTGATGATATGTGTATGGCAGGTCCACTCCAACAGTCAATACAAGTGATTAAAAGAAGGGCTGGCTTGGAGTACTGTTATGGTATCACATATTGAGTTATTCAAAAGCATGTTCTTTTACTTGAAAAGAGATGAATATCTGTCTTTTTATTGAATAAACTCATAACAGGATCTGGGAACAGAAAAGAGGAGGGATGCTGTGTCAGCATGTGGGTTGCAAATGGAATAAAACTTATTTCAAATGTGCACAGGAACTTTGAAAGAAAGCAAGATTAAGCATGCTGCAGTGCTTTGACCAACTGCCCTTCTTATCCTTAGTTTGAATAGTTTTTCCTGAGTTAAAACATTTATGGAAGTTAAAAGCATTACAGAATTTTTAAGAAGCAGATGATAAAGACCTGTGGGAGCAAACCTTTCTTCTCCATGGAGTGAGGAGTGTCATTGCTGTAGAGAATCAGGCAGGTTCTTCCCATCTCCAGGAGGACAAGTGCCTGTGGTGGGTGGTGTTACTTCCCTCTGCATCTCCCTGCTGTTGTGCTCCATCAGCCAACAGCAGCCCTTTGTGGAGACAAACCTGGAAGCAGTTTTTCTCTCATTTTTGGGAAGCTTTCCATTCTGTTGCTGGTTTGTTTCCTTTTAGTTTTCTAGAAAGCAGAGCAGCTTTTCATGGCCTCTTGTGTTTAACTCATGCCCTGGAGGGATGGACAGCGGAAGACAGCCACTTGGTTTGAATGCAGCCCATTGGATGATGGAATTTTGTAGAGCTTTGCCAGCCTTTCCAAGCAGTCAGGGTCAGTATTCAGCCTTAGCAGCCAACACTGGAACACTGGATGTCATAGTACTGGGAAGATGTGTGGGTGAGCAGCGGGGTCCAGAAGCATGGTCATGTACTGCCCAAAGATCAGGCTGTGAGTTCAGTGACCCTTAAGCTGTGCTTCATTTCAAGCCTAAGGGTATACTTGTAGTAAGCTTATGGAACTACATCTAGGACTCAAGTATTTTTGTCCTGTTGAAGTGGGATTTTAAACACATGTGTGTGTTCCTCTTGAGTGAGGCATAAAGAATGATAATATTGCCATTCACTGACTCAAAATGTTGGGCTTTGACTCACTAAATTGGAGCCATCCAGTATTTAGGCAGTTGAGCTACACCGGAAGTCTTATTTCCCTCTCTTTAGTCAGGAGAGATCAACATCTATACTTGATGGTTTGCTCTCTCCTAGGAGAACTTTTTTCAGCTATGTGGGGTAAATGGCATGCTTTTGGTGATGGATGGAGTCTAACTGACTAACTTAAGTCAGATGCTTAACTTGTAGACTGGACCTATCTCGTGGGAACCTTTTTGAGCTCACTGTAGGTATTCAAACCACCTCTGCATATCTCGTAATACTGACTCTACCTAGCATGGACAATGCTACATGTCTCTGTAGCGTCTTTGAAAACCCTTTGTACAACATTGACAAACATGTGTTTTCCTTAAGTAGGATCCTTGTTTAGGTATCCTTTTGACCTGCCTGCTTGAAAGCAATTAACCTCTGAATTTGTCAACTTGATGTAAACAAGAGCTTATCTTTTTTTTTTTATTTTTTTAATTTTTATTTTTAAATATCAAGCAAATCCAAATGGGTGGAAACAAAGCTTTTCAGTTTAATGATATATTTTTTTTGTAACCTAATGAAAAGGAACGTATCTTGCCTGTTACCATGAGAGTAGCTGTACAGTTCTGAGTCCAAAGAAATTCCAACCTCTCAGCAGGGCTGTAATTGGCAATCTGTTGAGCGCGGCTGCAAGGAAAGTGCTCTTTCAAGTGACTTTAAACTCCTTGAAAGGGACTGGATAAATGAAGCTAGCTTTGCTATCAGTGTTCTGATTTCAGGACATAAATTTTAATTTATAGAATAATACCTCTGTCTGTCTCCCCTTTACCCCACCTTCCCCTGCCCTATTTCTTTCTTTGCCTTGAAAACTCCAGGATTTGATAATAAAGCCTTTCAGAGCTAGCGTATTTTTTCAGGAGTAGTCTGAGTGCAAAATCGCTTCCATCTGGCAATGCTTTATAAAAGTTAAAGCTGGGGAAGAACACAGGGCCCGATTCTGTAAACATTTAAATATGTGTTAGACCAATCACAAGAATGAAGTTATGCTCGGGACAGTCAGAAGTGAGCTCTTGAGTGTCTGTAGTATGAAATACAGCACCTATGTATTTCTATGCTGGAAGAGTTGTCCTTGGTCGGCATAACCATGTAGAAATGTCTATCCATTTGCAAATGACACTTGAAAATAAATAGATTATTTGCAAACAGGTTCATAGAAATAATTTAACGAAGATTCTCCCTGAAGAATGAATAAATACTAGGATCGTAATTCAGTGCCAGTGGAACACGATGGCATTAACATGAACAAGTAGCCAAAGGAAAGCACGTGCTTAAGTGCTTTGCTGGATTGGGGCCAGGATGCTTAGAGGAGTGCTGGACCTTTTAAAGCAACAAGGCACAAAAAAAAAAAAAAAAAAAAAAAAAAAAGAATATTTCCCATGTAAGGCAGACTTCTTTCTTTGTTTTACATTGTATTTTTCATATTGGTAAGAAAAAAAATGCAAAAAAGCAGAAAGGTGTTCCAACTATAATGACTCGAGTGAGGTAGCATGCTTTGGTTCATCAGAAAATCAGTTCAGCTTTTCTGTACTCTCAAATACCATAGACAACGGAAGGAAATCTGATGGTGTGTACTGGTGGTGGCATAGCATTTCATGGGGCTAATTTTACTTGCCAAGTGCGTGTTCAACCTCACACTTGGTAACAGACTTCTGTACGAGAAAATGAAAACAAACATTAGGTGTTTCAGAAGCACAAAGGTCTCTCTTCTGTGCATGCTGCTTGAGTCGTGTCAGTCAAACCACATCAGCAAGATCAGCAGACATGTTGCAAAACAGCTGTCCAGTAGTAGCTGGAAAGACACAGAATCCCAGAATCATTACAATTGGAAAAGACCTCTAAGATCACTTCATCCAAACATCAGCCCCCACCATGCCTGCTAACTATGTCTCTCAGTGCCACATCTACGTGATTCTTCAACATCTCCAGGAAACTGGCACCTTTGGAGACAGGCTGCATCCCTGCAGCAGCACTGCTTCAGGCAGGTGCTTCCAAACTGTCAGTGTGTATCCCTGCAGGATGGAGGCCCTGCAGAACAGTGGTGGCACCCGTTGTCTGTAGATCTGTCTGTATGGAAAGCAGCCTGATGCTGTATCTCAGTTTGACAGTGCTGTGCAGGCCGTCCCAGTCTCTCATGTTTTTCAGACATAACCAAAACAAACCTCAGTGCCTAATTACTTGAACCCTTCTGTGTGCGAAACACCTAAAAATGTCAATACAAATCCCTTGAAACGTCATGGGGATGGCAGGGCTTTTAACAAGAATGATGAAAGCTGGAAAGCTGGAATGGCTTTTTTTTTAATTCTGCCAACAGAAAGTACTTCAGCTGTGACAGTATTTAAGCACATTTCTAATTGGTTTCCTCTAACTATGTAGGCTTTTGACCTTAGAGTGCTTTATTTCCATTGTTTTCAGTTGATAACATCCAAGAACACAAAGTAATATTTCTAAAGTCTGGCGATAGTAATGAAGCAAATATAAACAAACTTAACTCTTCGGTTTTCATACCCCACCTTTATGAATTTCCTCTCATTCAGGATGACCGCCCAAACACCACTTTGTTTGACTTGACATTGACCCAAACGCATGAGATCACTGGCAAGTTCAATTTGGACATTAAAGTGATGGCGAGCTGCACTGAAATTTATTTCTATCTTTCCACTTACACAGGCCTCCCACTGCAATGTAAATGTTTGCTTGTCTGAGGTTCCTCAGCAGTTTGTAATCATAATTAAGAAGAAAAGGGAAATTAACTCTTGTATTCTTTGCTGAAACAAAAGACAA